ACACACACACACACACACACACACACACACACACACACACACACACACACATATATATATATATATACAAACCCACACGTATACGTATATTCCCATTTAGAATTATGGGCGGGCATATTGCTGTCACGGTATATACTTATTATACATGTACTTCAATACCTGTGAAAAGAGATCAGAACTGGAAATGTATGACAGTCATGGGGGGAGGGGTGGGTGCGGACTAGACCTCGAAGTACTCGTTAATTTAGAATTTTAGAAGCTGAATACAAATCAATCTTTGTCAGTAACACTGCTACTGTCGGATGCTTTTGTTCTTCTTTTTGGAAGTATAATGAATTTGCTAACGCTAGCAATGATGAGTTGGGTTGTTGTTTTTTTAATACCCGAGGATTTAAAACGATGGACAAGGGAGGAAAGCTTTGAAAGCTCTACTAAAATGTCTACAAGATGCCCAGATGTGCTAAGTAAATAGTATCGCTACTACTACTTAAAAATTCAGTTAGTCTCAATTTATATGTCTGGCCTCCACTCTTGCAAGATTAACTTCGGAGATCCCCTTGCGTCAAAGACCACTCGGTCAATATTCGAGTAGTCAGGAAAGCCAATGAATTTGATAAGAAGGTCAAATAAAACAGGAAACGTGGACTTTGCCAGACCAGACAAACAGCGGTCAGCACTGACAATGTTTTTGTAGAATCTCGTATTTGAAGAATCTTTGGTTTTTACATTGTTAAAAGTAAGATTGTTGTTCATGGTTACTTAACTAAGGGGCATGAAAAACTATTTATTTCTATGGTGTTTATGTTGAAATATACTACGTTACGCCTTTTGTTGTAACGTATATTCAAATCTGTATTGTGTTTAAGTTTTTACAAAGTACTCCATGCGTTGAAGATAGTATTACTGATTAATAAATTTACCCAAAAAGAAGTTGGAAAAATACCCCCTCCAAAAAACAACAACAAAACAACAACAACAACAACAACAACAACAACAACAACAACAACAACAACAACAACAACAACAGAACAAACAAATCTAGCAAAATAGTGAACATTTACACAAAAGTAAACTTCTCCAATCAGACGTTGGGTGAGTTATACAAAAACAAAAACAAAAACCTTACCGGCGCCTGTGGTGGAGTCTGTAGTGGTCAAACACTTTGCTGTTGCAAGGAAAAAAACGTGGGTCAAATTTCAGTTGAAAAAGGTGGTGAGGGAGGGGGAAGGGGGACTTTTATAGAGCTTGTCTGCTTAGATGTCATTATCCCTCTCAGGCTGGGGATGGCTTAGCAGGCACAGTTGAAGAAGCGCACCTTCTAATGGTCTATGCTGTGTTGATATTGTAGAAAACATACAGATTTTCCTCCAAAAAAAACAACCTTATCGCTAACAGAGACTTTTGTAAAATATAGAATATACCTTTATGTCAGAATGTACTTTCGCCCTTTAAAAAATAGTATGTGTATACTCCTTTAAAAAAAGTAGTTTGGAGGGATATGAACTGTAAAGTAGCATAGCGCATTTTCCTTATGAAATCGGAACCATTTCCAAAGCTGGAGATTGGCGGGACACATCATCGAGGACTGATTTCCTCATAAACTTTAAAACTTAGGAATATCCGTACATGGAAAGGACAAAGATAAATTATATTATGAAACAAAGGACGCACTCCTAGAACCCTATCACACGATAGAACGTTTGCAGACACGGCATAACAACAACAACAACAAATATATCACGACTTTGAGATTTGCGCCTTCGAAAAAGTTATTGGTTTTCAATTTCAAAATTTATTTATAAAAATTTTTTTACCCTTTCCTTCATAATTTGCGCTGTCTCCAGCTTCACTCTGAGCAGTCCCCGCTGTTTTAGGTCGCCTGGTGTGTCTGCTTTGGCTGGTTGTATCCCAATGAACTACGCACTCTATGACAACATAATTTCATTTTAGAATATGTGCATATAGCAATAATTATTATTTTGTATATGCATGCTTTTGTATGGTGTGTGGTTGAATATAGCTTTGGAATTGTTGCCTGCTTCTCTTTTTAAATATCTATTTTTTCACTATACAGTACTTAGCTTGTCAATAAATTTTCGATGGTTCTGAACTCAATCAATGAAACACCAATTTAAAGTAGACGAAAAGTAAAAAGTGGAAAACATGTGAGGATACGGTTTAAAATTTTAATTTTTGTTGTCCTTGATGAAAGCTTAATAATGTAGTTAATATTATACTTTATACAATGTTCCCTACTTTTCTTTGGTTACGTTTTGTTCTTTTTAAAAAGTAAAATTTTAATATCATGATGTTCCCTTGCTTTACATCGTTTGAGTTGTCCCCACATTTCCTGTACATTTGGTAGCACTGTGCTTTTATTGTGCTCTCATTACTATTATTATATTATTGTGATTGTTTTAGATCACAAATGTATTTACACCGAATTTGAATATTTTAACTTTTTAGCATTTTAAAATAAATTAGTTACCAGTCGTGAAGTGAACTTTCGCAGAGGTGAACAACCAACTTGTGTTTCGCGCGCTCATATGACCTTAGCAGTTGCGAGCGCCGTAAAACCTTATACTACTACTACTATATTATTGTGATAAGATAATTGGATAGTGCATTGATCAGGGCTGTCAGTTTTTATTTTTTCCCTATTTCTGAAGTCTATAATGCGAGCGTGAATTCGCCGCCTAGTTAAAATTCAATGCTGAAGAGTTTGTCATTATGTGCCCTCGATGTTTTAAAATAAGACCGATTTTAAATTCGCTTTTGGTCGAAATTGATTTATTAGTTCTGTTCACTAAAGCTCTCTCACATCTATCAGTCGACTAATGTTCTGTCTAACGCATAAGCTGTTATTTTGAAAGATTTTCTGGTTGGTGAGAAATAAATTATGTCCATAGTTCTGTTAGTTATGAAATGGGAAATTATTACTTATTTTCATTTTCCAAACTACTCAAATTGGAGTCAGATCACATTTATTCACAAAATCACCCACTGTGGTTTTAGATATCAACATTTTCCATAGAATTGTATTATCCTAGAATGTGCACTGTGACGTATTTCCTGTGCACTGTGGAGAGCACCTTTGACTTAGTGTGAGCTTAAGTGCTGTGCTCACTTTATTATAGCGAGACTGGTGTTTCGACCTTTACTTGAGTGTAATAGCACGCTCCATAAGGCAAAGTGAACGATAAATATTACAACTTGCAGTGATACTGTTTTCTTTATGTGAGTTTTATTTTCTATAGTCACAGAGGGGCGGTTTATTTTAAAATATAATGTAAGGGTGCATTCGTCTTGATTTACCAACTGCTTGATTTTCGCAAAGTTTAACTCTTTACAAAATTTGTAATAATTTGTTATTAATCTTTTTTTGTGATTTCTTTATAGTGAGATACCGGTATTTTTCATTTTTCAAATTTTAATACAATTCAGCTTACCGTCCATTGAATTGTATATCCTGGTATGCATTACTTATTTAAGTAGACAAAACGTAGCAGTGTTTCGTGCCTACAACAAATATAATTATCCATTTCTGCTTTTAGTTAAAATCGATAGAGGATACCTGCCATCTTTTTGTCTTTTCTTTGCAATAAGACAATTTAAGTAGAGCATTGATACTTGAAATTAAGTTTTGATTACTTTATATCTCTTTAAGAATATCTGAATGCATCCATTATTAATTAATTTTACATTGAAAAACTTTATATTTTCTTTTCACATGTTTGTTTGTTGTTAGGGGACAACAATACAAGAAAAATAAAAATAAAAACGTGGTTGTAACTTTTGTTTTACTTACGAAATGATATCATTCACACACGAACGCACGCATGCACACACACACACACACACACACACACACACACACACACACACACACACACACACACACACACACACACACACACACAAACATGAGATGAATTAAAAAGAAAAAAAAAGAAAGACTTGTGCCGAAGCGATATACAAGTACCTGATAAATTTGATTTCATCATTCTATGCTTGATTCATAACGCAATAGAAACAGTACATTATGTATATTGTAGAGCATTCCTATATAAAACAAGTAGCCTACACTATATTTGATTTGCTTCACATTATTGTGTCAGCAATACCACTGAATATACCCAGTCATTCGTCTCAAGATAGACATTAAATTTAATCTGTTGTCCCTTGCCATGCTACAATAAAACTAATATTACATTCTATTGTAACTATTATTA